ATTATTATTATTATTTTGGCCAAAATTATGCAAGAATACCCATCGGAAACAATAAAATTGGAAAAATTCCAGCCCAGACAGATCGGGCATCTCATATAAACTCTCTGTTGAGGCACCAAAAAATAACAAATTAAATTACACCTAATTGGATTTTTTTAGACATAAACTTGTGCAAGCGTGATGACTTAAAATTTATAATTTTATTAAGGCGTGAATATGAAGAAAAGGAAAATTTTGAGAAAAATGAACAATGATCATGGAGATGGGTTGAAAATGAGAAAATGCTTTTGTATTGTTTTGTTGTTTAATCCTGTATTCGTCAATGCCTTAACCTTCAATTGCCATATAATAAAAAATTGATGAACGAGTGGGTATCCAACAAGAAATATTAATTAATTGGGAATCCAAGAGGAGAAGTAAGTGCCAACCTTTCGGTGTAAAAAAAAATATATATATATATATATATTATAGATTTCCCGACAGATTAATTTATCATCTCCCATTAAACTTACTATTTTCCTAATTTTGTATCTTTGAGCATATATTAATAGTATATTTATATATTTTTTGTAATTAATTTGTATAAAAGATATAAATGTTAATTTTACTTTAATTAGTTAACTAATTATATATAAAAATAGTGCTAAAATTAAAATTAATTTTTGTATTTTTTAATATAAATTAATTAAAAAATAATATATTCATTACATTTTAATTTGTGCCTTTAAAATATATGTCAAACAAACTTTTATAATTTAAAAGCAAACAATTTTAATGGATCCCTTCTAAGATGTGTTTTGCTTTGAGAAGAAGAAAGAAATGACCATTTTTTCTATTTGGTATAAAAAAACAATTTAGAAGGGAAAAAAAGAGAGGAAGAAAGTCTTTCATTTTATTTTTAAAGTATGTTATTTTATAATTTATATGGTAATAAATTATAGAATATAAATTATTAAATAAAAAAATTTGTAATATTAAGAGATGCACTTCTAATTTAGATATTTTTATTTTATAATTTAATATATTTTAAATTATAAAAATAATTTTTAGTTATTTTTTATTTCTAATTTCTTTATTTATTTAAGTAAAGAGAAAAAAAATCATATTTTTTTTTATTTTTCTCTCTTTCATTTTTTTCAAACCCCATTTCTTTCTTTCAAATCAAATATACCCCTAATATTATTTTTTTGACATAATATACCCCTAATATTATGAATGTAAAGATTTATTAAATACCAACAAATGAAACAATTTATCGATATCACCTATTGTAATATTAATAATTGTAATATCAATTATCTGTTGGTTTAAGTAGAATAAATTTAATTTTTTTAAATAATATTTTAAATTTAAATTTTATAAATAAAAAAATAAAAATTATAAAAACTTCTTCTTAATGAATTTAATTTAATTTGATTTCACATTAATCAAAATTTAATATAATTACAAATACTGATAAACTAATAAAAATAAATAATAATAAAGACCGGAATATAAAGCGAAAAGGAGGTCAGTAAGATATGGTATTACCATATCTGTCAGGAAATAAAAGAAAAATGAAAAATTTATTGCTATTCTGCCTCCATTATATCATATGCATTTAATTTCGATGCCGGGAAAGTAATATGATATTCCCTAACTGTCCACGTCGACCTGCAACATTACGCGTACATCTGACCCACAGTACATATGGTGGGACCCCTTCTTCTTCTTCAAAATAATCAGAGCCCAAAGTAAAAAGGCGAGTACACAGAGTTAATTGTACTCTCTCCACCTCTTCCTTTTTCTCGCTCCTCTTCCCTTCTATTTTCCCACCCTCCCTTCTCTCTCTCCTCCGAAGTCCCTGTCTGGTCCCCTAGGGTTTTCCAATCCCTAAAAAAGTCTGATTTTTTTTTTTTTTTTTTGGTTTTTCAATTTACGTTTCGAGTCCAAATCCGCGCCTCAATGTGCCGCTCTCTATCCCCTACAGGTTGAGGTACTGTTTCTGCATCCGATCTTGCTTGTTTTCTTCCAGTTTTTATGTTGAGATTTTGAATCTCTTGTTTCGAGCTTGCTTCTGTTCCTAGTGAAGTAATCTGCTTTGAGTTTGGTTTTATCTATATAAAGCAAATGTTTACATTTTTGCCCTCTTTTTTTAAAAAATTTTTTTTTAATTTTCTTAATTTTTTTTGCTTTTTCTAAATTATCTTCCTGGTTTGGAATTAATGGACTGGTGATTGTTTCTGCTTTCCTTTTTGTTTTGTTTTCTTGCATTTGCTTGATCCGCAGTTCTTTTGCAGGGGCTGTAATTTTTGTTTTCCTGGAAAGAAAAAAAGCTGTACATGGAACAACTTTTAATTTGTATTTGGGGATTTTACTCCTAGGAGCATTTCCCTGATCTGTCACATCTGAAAATTTAATGCAGAAACTGAAAAAGAAGATGAAACTTCGTAGTTAGTGGTAGTATAAGCCTTGCAACAAACGAACCGGTTACATACAGGTGGTAGTATTTTACACTCTAACTATGAGCAAAATGATAAATTTACAGAGTAGTAAGTTCGTGTTTCAGGGTTGCACTTCTTGGATAGATCTGAGGCATTTTTATGTGCTTTGGGTTTTGGTGATTTTATTTTATTTTCTGACTTAGGTGATCATTCTCAGGTTTTTGATGTTGCATTTCGGGGTGGGTGAAAGGTTCTTTCGGATTGTTTTAGCTCCAGAATCTATTTATGAAAGAAAGGCTAGGTTGGGAGTTAGTTCAGATCTTTGAAGTTTTTGGGTAAGAGAAATGGAATTGTGAAAACTTGCTGGATTGCATACAGGTTGCATCGGAGGGGTTTTTAGTGCATTTTGGCCATAGTGATGGGTTCGTATTCTGGTACTTGTGAAATTGTTGAGGCAGGGGAACAACAGTGGAAGTCTATCCAACATTCTAGAGGGGATTATCGATCCCATTCAGGATTGAGTGTGGGTGAAAAGGATAAGAAGCCTTCTGTGGTGAAACTGGGACCCAAGGATTCTCTTGTGGAAGATATTAATCAGCTTTTTGAGGCTATCAGTCTTAAAAGTTCCTCCAAAGGTTTGAATCTTTCGCAACAAGAAGGCACAAGCACCAGCTTGTTGAGGAAAAATGCTTTGAAAAAGCCAATAGCTGTGGGCATGCCTCACTCACCAAGAATTGGTTCTTCTGAACCAGTGTCGCTGAAGCAAGCATTAAGGGATCTGTGCATTTCCAAGGCATCAGAAATGGCTGCTATGAAACGCTTATCAAAGCCAATTGGTTCTCCAAGGATCTCAGAAGCTGGACGGATAAAAAGTTTATACAATTCAGTAGTGGTTGAAGCTGCCAGTGGATCTGGCCAGTGCAAAGACAGAGATGATGACAGCATAGTTGAAATATCTTTGGTGCCAGAAGAAAAGAAATCAAATTATTCAGCAAAGGTTTCTCCTCAGCTTCAAGTTCCCAAGTTAAAGTCATCAGATAACAGTGCCCATTCTTCTCCTCGATTTGTTGGTCCATTAACACAAATCAGTACTGGAACAACATCTAAACACAGTGCTCATTCTTCTCCTCAATTTGTTGGTCCAACAACAGACATTAGGATTGGAACAACATCAATTCTAACTGATACATCTGCTGCAAGAAAAATTGAAACTCAAACACCAAAGGTGGATCAACTGCAGAAAGAGAAGAATAATCTTCCAACTTCTCTATCTCATTCCCGTGCTGATGATAGCATGTTAGAAGTGAACAATGTTGTTCCTGTTTCAACTAAATTGCCAAAAAAGGCATCAGCATCCAAACCAGGACGGAGAGGCAGGTTGCATACCTTACCTTCTTCATCTAACTCAATCAATGGAACCAGGGCAAGCAAGATCACAAGAAATGCCCCACGGATCGGAAAACCTGTTCTGAGGAACAGGATTTCTTGTAAAAAGAAAAGAAGGCAGGATGCTTCTATTGCTGGCACTTCTAATACTTATAGTGAAGGTGGTAGGAGCTTGGATCCAAATACAAGTCAACTTATTTGCCAGAGATGCCAGTGTGCTCTGAAGGGTGCAAGCAATGACTCCAATCAAGATTCTTTAGCATCCCATTCAGCTAGCCTTAGTGTTGAAGTTAGCTCAAGCAATGTGAATGCTATCATAGCTAAACCAGCCTCAATGCCAACAATAGGTAGCGGAAGCAGATCTGCCATCCCAAGGGCTAAAAAGAGCCCCAAATCAAGAGAAAAGGGAGAATTTTCCCAGAGCTCGAGCAGCCTTGGTGATAGTAGTAGTACAAGCATCAGTGATAACAGCAATACAAGTGGGTCTGGTTGTGGCAACAGGCCTCACATGTCAAAGGATGTGAGGTGGGAAGCCGTCCGCCATGTTCAGACACAGCCTGGAGTCTTGGGGTTAAGTCATTTCAATCTGTTAAAAAAGCTTGGGTGTGGAGATATTGGAACAGTGTATCTTGCAGAGTTGATTGGTACAACCTGCCTCTTTGCTATAAAGGTCATGGACAATGAATTTTTGGCAAGAAGGAAAAAGATGCCAAGGGCCCAAACAGAAAGGGAAATACTGAGAATGCTAGATCATCCCTTTCTGCCTACATTATATTCCCAATTCACATCAGATAACTTATCATGTTTAGTTATGGAGTATTGCCCAGGTGGAGACCTGCATGTCCTTCGGCAAAAGCAGCCTGGCAGGTGTTTTCCTGAACCAGCAGCAAGGTATGATGCTTAGATAAAACTTCAATCTAAATCAGTATTTTCTTCTATGATCTTGAAATATTCTGAAATCTGCATTCATTTAGTTTGAAAGTCAAAGCCATGGTAAGTTTTGCCTTCAATTGTTAGCTATCTAGAGAAAGTCATTAAAATTGTTAATTCCTTTAACTGAGCATTTGAACAAATGTCTGCCTCCTCTTATGCAGAACGTTATTTTTTATTTCTATTTTTTCTATTAGTCACTTTATGGATAAAGTCACTCTGATTTCTTCATTTATATTTCAACTCCATGACCAAGCAACTTCATAATTAGTCCTTTTCCCTTTTTGAATGTTAACGATCCTTCAGTCATTTCCTCACATGGCACATTTTGTCAATTAATTTCTGATTGAAGTTCTCAGGTTCTTTTACCTGTTTGGTTATTTTTCTGTCATTGCTTCCTTAAGCCACTTGTGTAGCCATCCCCAAGAGGGATCATATGCTGAGTGTCTTCTCTTTTTATGAGAGAACATCATTTTTTCAAATGACTGAGAATTGTATTTGCATTGCATGTAGTAGACTAGTCGTGAATAAAACATTTTACCATCTCTGCTGGCAGAGTGTCAATTTTCAGCCATTATTTCATTGTGCTGGTGATACTGCCAATTTCTCATGCAGTATTATCATCCATGACATCAATATGCTTTCTCACAATTCCACAACCAACTTTGCCATCGATATATCAAAATACTGTTGCTTAATCTGCTCATAGTTATCTGCAGGATCTAGAATATGCATCTAGAATATGCTTTCTCTGAATCCCACTATCCCAGTGCACTATTTTCTTAGGGTCTAATAGTCAGTCTCGGTATCCTTCAATTTGAGTGGCTGGAAATCATTTACTTTAAAAGTCAATTTTGCTTATCTTAGATGTGCCTCTTAGTTTTATGATCACAGAAATGCTAACACTTCTAAGTAAGAAAATTTGGCACTGCATGGGGTTTTCTTAATGTTTTATGACACATCTTGTTTTCTTGTGTACCTTCGAACTTATTGGAGAAAACAATTATATGTGCAGGTTTTATGTTGCTGAAGTCCTCCTTGCTTTGGAGTATTTGCACATGCTTGGAGTCATCTACAGGGATTTGAAACCAGAAAACATCATGGTTCGGGAAGATGGCCATATAATGCTAACAGATTTTGACCTGTCTCTGAGATGCAGTGTTAATCCAACTCTTGTCAAATCTTCATCTAATTTGGATCCGGCTAGGGTGTCTGGTCCATGCACGCAGTCTAGTTGCATAGAGCCTTTCTGCATTGAACCATCATGTCAAGTTGCATGCTTCAGTCCTAGGTTCTTGCCTGCTGCTGCAAAAACAAGGAAGCTGAAAGCTGACAATGCTGCCCATGACAGATCACTGCCACAGCTTGTGGCTGAACCCACGGATGCTAGATCCAATTCCTTTGTTGGGACCCATGAATATTTGGCCCCTGAGATCATTAAAGGAGAGGGTCATGGAGCTGCAGTTGATTGGTGGACCTTTGGTATCTTCCTTTACGAGCTTCTCTATGGTAGAACACCCTTCAAGGGTTCTGGTAATGAAGAGACATTAGTGAATGTGGTACGGCAAAACCTAAAGTTTCCAGATAGTCCCCTAGTTAGTTTCCAAGCAAGGGATCTCATCAGAGGATTGTTGGTGAAGGAGCCAGAGAATCGGTTGGGAACAGAAAAGGGAGCTGCCGAGATCAAGCAGCATCCTTTCTTTGATGGCTTAAATTGGGCTCTGATACGGTGTGCCATTCCACCCGAACTGCCTGAGTTCTATGAATTTGGGGTCCCGAGCATGCCTCAAGAATCAAACAGCAGTTTCTTAGAATGTAAAGCTACTGGAGAGCACCTTGAGTTTGAGTTATTTTAGCGAGAACCTCCATTTGCTACAGAGAAATCCTTCTGTTTCGATGTCGCTCTTATAAGACAAAGTCGCCCTATTGTAACCAATGTAAATTCGTTCGGAATATTGGGTAAAGATGTCTAAATTTTCAAATAGAAGATCCTTATTAATAAGTATATTATATATAGCGAAAATCACATAACAATGAAGATCTTGAATTGAATGAATTAAGCTCTCTTTTATTCTAGTTCGAATGCTAACGGTTTTTTTTTTTTTTTTTTTTTAATAAACTATCATATGATTTATTTAAAAATTAGATTATTTTATCATTTAAATTATATTAAATTTAAAATTAGAGTTTTTAAAGAGAGAAGAGGGTTGAATTTGAAGAGTTCTCTTTTAACCTAAAATTAATTATGTTACGATTTGATATAATTTAAATTATGAAATAATTATTATTAATTAAATTTTAAAAAAATAAATATTTCTTTTTGAAAATTTCATTTTACAATTTTAGGTGTCTTCACATTTCCATCGGTGTCCATATCCCTGCGCACGAGTTAGTGAGTTCAAAATCAAACCGCGGCAGGACGTCTTTTCCGATTTGATGGTCAAAAAAACGGTTTTGAACATCAAAATAAAGGAAAGCACAGAATGGAGAATGATTATTTTACCAAAAAAAAAAAGAAAGGAGAATGAAAGGCGGTTGCAAAATCGGCGCCAAAACGTTGCGTTTTATCGAGCCGTGAAACACTACTGTACTGTTCGATTTCCATCTTGACTCTTACCCGTTCGTTCTCGAAGCAACTGCTCATGGCGACAAGCTTAGGAGACGACAGCGTCATCCTCGTCTGTGCGAGTCCGAATCCGATCGAAACTGATTTCTCTAATGTGGAAATCCTGATTTCAACTGCCGATATTCTCAGCTGGGATCTCCCGTCCATACTTCTTTCCCAAACAATCAAAATCCAAGCTGATCGAACTAGGCAATCCATATTTTTTTCTTTCTGATTTTTTTATAAAAAAACTATTCTTAGTTCTGATTCCATACAAGTAGATGAACTCTTAGTTTATTGATTTTGATTCGTTATATTGGATTATGAAGTTAATTATTGGCGACTTTTTGCAGGCTCGTTGAACATTCTTCATATTTCTGTGGTCTCCTAGGTGGGAGCTTCAGGTAATCAGAGGATGAGTTGGTTAGTTTTGTGTTGATCTATGAGGATTTTGACTAGATTACATATTAATTGAGCATCGGCTTTGTGATTTTTCCAAACTGGAAGAGATTTTAAATCTTGAGAGAAAAATAAGTATAACACTGTATCATTAATTATTGCCTGGATCGTAAGCAGTGATCTGAATTCTGAACCATACTGGAAATGTGGGTTCAAATCCCCCAAAAAAAAAAAAAAAAAAGAAGAAGAAGAAACAATACTAGCAAGCCACTACTGAGGATGTTTTAAATAATTTGTTTTTTTTTTTCCTTAATCTTTTTACTAGAATTTATTAATGCTAAGTGATCATTTTGCGATTTGCTTATAAGTTATATAACCCGTGCAGTGAGTCAAGTCTGAACAGTATTTCTATCAAGTGGAACTTGGAAACATTTTTGAATGTCCTCAAGTGTATGTATGGATGCCCATTGGACATTACTTCCAAAAATTTCCTACTTCTTTTTGAGGTAAAAGTTGGTTTATTTAGTGTTTTGCTCTTTTCTGGAGTAGGATAGAGATTTAAATTGCAGCGAGCCAGAGATGGTTATATGAATTTATGTTAACTTTGGTTTTTCCCTCCGAAATAGATAGTGAAATTTGTTCTTCCACTTATCTTATGTTTTAATATAATGAGTTATAAATTCATTAACTAGAAGGTAACAGGTTTAGTGGGATGAAATTTTCAATTTGTGAAATAAAATAAGATATCTCATGGCTGTAAAGTTCTGGACTATGTTTCAGGGAGCACTTTATTTTGGAGTGGAGACACTTCTCTTGCAATGTAAATCTTGGCTTTTCAAGGTAGCTTCATTTAGTGATCATGGGAGGCTGCAGATAGAGTTGGGTGATTTGATTCATATATGGAGTTTTAGTTTAGGCCATGGTAAGTGCCTGAATATATATATATATATATATATGTTTTTTCGACCAGACAAAGAAATTGTATATATTAAACAATTAGTCTGATATTTGTTGTTCAGCAGAAAAGGCCCCAAGTGGTATTAATACATGTGATGAGTGACATTATGTTTAATGTTAGCAGTATCCATTTTAATAGATAATTTTGAATTATGTTGCAGCTATTGATTTTGTTCAACAGTTATGTGAGGGCTATCTTGCAAGGAATTTTGTATGTTCATCACTTTCTTAGCTCTTGAAGTAATATCAGTTCATGATCTCGTCCCAAGATCCTGCAGCATCAATTTGTTAATAGAGGATTAAGTTTTATTAGAAATTTTCACTCTCTTCATCTTACTTTTAAAGTGTAACAAGTCCTGTGTTTGACATGGCAAGTTATCATTGATCAGTGTATCTTTTTTCCGAAGGAATGTTTGCTCTTATCACAGTGCTTTAACCATTAATTGGGCAATGATGAATTATGGTTTGTTCACAGATGTCAGCCATACCTAGTAAATGTTTCAAAGATGTTCCCTATGATATGCTATTAACCTGTGTAAAGCATCCTGATTTGACAGTAGAAAGGTTTGTAAATTACCTTTTGACTTCCTGAATTCAGTTTTTAAATGATCTAGTGGAATTCTGATTTCTTTCTAAACTTGTACAGTGAGATGCATCTTGCTGATGCATTATTAACTTGGATTGATGCTAACATAGAAATGCTGAAAAGTTCAAGTGAAACTGAGTGTGATTTCCGTGACATTTTACAACAGGTATGAGCATATGATTGCATAGCCTATCAGCTCAACTTAATAAATTAATAACAAAACAAATACTAATAATTGTATGAGATAAATATTTAAATTTGGCTTCGCTTAACCTTTGGGAGTAAAACTTTTTATGTGCTGGTTGATTGTAATGTCCTTCTGAATGAAGCATCATTATATTGAACAGATTCGCATTAGCTTGTTGCCGTTGTGGTTTGCTGCAGGTATGTATGGTTATCTGGCTGTTTCACCTACAGTGTAACATTATATGAGTGTTGTGCAGTCCAACCTGATATGGACTGCACAACTATAACCATTGATGAGGTTCAATGGGGCCTTCCTTCCTCGAAATCAATGGTCACTTTTTGTGGTTTGACCTGAAAAACGTGATTATATTATATCCTTTTGATTTTTTATTTTTCCCCATCATAACCATTGATAATACTATTCAAATTGTATTTTTTTTAAGGGAAGAGAAGGTCCTATTTTTCTGAGCTTGCGGATACAAGCATTGACTCAATTTTTAGACTAATAGAAGCTACATCTGGAGGCTCAAGAAATATTTTGAATGATGGTGACTCTTGCCAGCTTAGGATTCGATTCAGTGAATACTCTAAGGTATTTTTTTCACTAGCTCTTCAGTCTTCACAGAAGGGGGCGGAGTTGGTTTTGTAGTTCTAACAAAGAGGAGAAGTCCTCCAACCTTGTTAGAAATTTTGGACTGAATCTGATGGCTATTAATTGTGAAGAACTTTGAGGAGAGGGTTTAAGGATTCTTTTCCAAATGTCTTGTTACTTTCTCACAGTTGGGAGACTGTTTTCTTTAAACTCAATGTTTTGTTTTGTGTGTTTCTATATAATTAAAGATTTAATTATACTTTACTGCTCTTTTATTTTTTTAAAAATTTTTATGTTAATACTTTACTGCTCTTGATTGTAGAAGAGTTGAAAAAAGTTTATTCAGTATTTAGTTGAATAGATAAGGAATCAAGAAGGTGGGAATTAGTGAGGAGAAGTGCTGCCCTATCAAATTCTGATCTCATAGCTTTGTGATATTTGTTTCTCAAATGTCAAAAGGCCATTGTTGAAGTGTTGATTTTTTTTCTTTCCCTGCACAGAGAGTGGACCTTTCTTGTTGTCCGCAGATAACATCGGCAATTCTGTTCCAGTCTCTTCTTCCTTTTAGAGACCTATTATTGAAGGAAAATGGCAAAGAATTTCTCAGCAATCTTGAACATGATAAATTTCAACCCTCACAGAAACTCCTGCAAAATTTGCCTTCCCTAGCAGTTCAGGAGGTTGATATCTCTAAGTGTCCAAGGCTGCATCTTAACACTGCCATTGAGTGCTTTTCCCAGTCATTCCCATCTTTGAAAACACTGAAAGCTGCTCATCTTCTGAACTTTAAGACAACCACTTTGCATAGATTGGTGCAGAATTGTCCTCTAGTCTCTGAAGTTGACTTGGCTTTGGATATTGATCCATTGGTATCATCAGAAGCATGTGTTGCATCCTCTAGTCCACTGCAACCAGGCTGCTCTTCCATTCACCATGGTTCTTCTGCCACAGTATATTCTAAAATGAAACCATCATTATCAAACATAAGAAAACTGACATTGGAAGGCCGCAATGAGCTCTCTGGTGCGTCACTTTTATGCTTGTCTGTTTACAGTAATCCTTAATCATTAAAAAATATATTTTATTATCCCCCCAAGGAAAACTTGCCAATCCAGACAACTATTTGATGGCCTTAGAATCTTTTGTTTTATTAAATTTTCTGTCATATAAGAATGGAATTGCTATTTTTTGGTTTTCCTTGGGAAACACAGAGTCAATGCTTATGCTCCATTGTTAATGTGGAGATTAGTTGGATTTAATGGCATTTAAAGGGAATGCTATCCCTGTGAGTCAGATGTATGATGTTATGGGTATGGCAACAAAGCCATAGTTGCACTGTCATGGAGTTTCAGCTGGGCAACTCTACATATGTGATTCCATTCTTGCTTTTCAATGATTGTATGGGCTTGTTTTGCTTTGCATCATTGTCAAATCTCTAACTTTTTTTTACTAAATGTTGGCACCAGATATGGATCTCCTGAATATCTCAGACTTCTGTGCTTCATTATGTTATGTGAACATTAAAGGTTGTATATCGATAACAGATAATGGTATAGCATCTTTTATTCACAGATGTAGCAATCTACATTCTATTATAGTTTGTCTTACTTCTTTTGGGATGAATTCAATTCAAGCTCTTTGTTCTAGTGATCCTAGTTTCAGTAATTCTATGACTTCACATTTTGGAAAGAAGTACTCGTTTTCATTGGCATCCAATCTTCAAATACTACATATGGGAGGTTGCAAAGGTGAGCATTATTTTCTTTACCAATAAATCTGTCAAGATTGAAATGCTGTGTCTTCTGTGCAATTATTGAAAGATAAATGACTTGATGATAGATGTCTCACAGGTGTTGATCAAGCTTCTTTACTAGAGGTCATATCTCAAACACAAATGATGAAGAGTCTTTGCTTGGGAGACACACACCTTGCTGATGATGCTCTCTATAGTTTCTTAGGTTCTTCACTAGAGATGCTTGATGTTTCTAATACAGTGGTTAGTAAGAAAACTTTTGGAACCTGGTTCATCTTTTCTTGGGAGAAATGCGTATAAATGTCTATCCAGCATATGCTTTCATGGAAGAAAAACTTGTCTGCCTTATTATTTTTTTATATGGTTTTAATTCAAGAATACAAAAGACTAGTAGAAGAAGTGATAGATTGAACTAAGACAACCAGTGCATTTGTAAATTAATATTTTTTCTACTGGTTGCTCTTGAAGTTTCCAGGGCAAAGAACACCGCACAGGTAATTAAAATGTCAAAGAAATGCTCTCTTTCTCATTAAAAGCACATAATTCTGTTTATCAGGAAAAAAAAAAAATTGAAAAGAGGGGAATGACATAATTCTATTAAGAAGCACCTCACTCGGTGGTTTCATTTGTTGAATTAGAATATCATAAAAGATCAAACCCTCAGCTAACCCTGTATTAACTTTTAGTGATTTCATTTACATGTAAACATTGTGAGCTGTAGAAGGTATGGAGAATTATTATTGTGCTTTTCTATCCAAAAGTATTGTTAGAATAGTAGATGAATTAAGCATTGATGTTTGAACACAGCTAGCTGCTAACCTTAAATGGAGTATCACTTTTCCAATGGTGCACATCAGAACTGGAAATGAAATTGTCTAACCCAATGGTTTTTGCTTCATAAAATTTCAGATTTCAGGAGCTGCTTTAACTCATGTTGTCCGAAGAAATCCTGGCTTAAAGTCTCTGAATGTGAGCGGCTGTAAAAATTTATTACAGCAGGAAATTAGTGTGAAAGAGGAAAAATTTTCTTCATCGTATTCATGTGGAGAACTGTTTATCGAGTTGGGCAAGACATGCAGATTGGAAGAAATTGTTGTGGGATGGGGTTTGTCTTACTTTTCACTGGAAGCTCTAAAACCTGCAATTTTGTCTTTACGAGCAATTACTGTAGGCCTGGGTGGATCATTGCCTGAAGACGCACTGAAATTGCTACCTGCTAGCTGTCCTTTGCTGGAGTCATTGATTCTTAATTTTCAGGTATCTATCAACGAATCTTGTCATATTTGTGGGATAGCTATTGTAATTCTTGTTGGATTTTAAAAGTGATGGTTCCACATTTTCAGTATAGAAATAACAAAATCTATCCATGCTTAGCTCTTTTATAACCATTTTGGGAATTAATAAAAACATACTTAGCTGGTAAACTTATGACTGTTATATACCCCCTCAATCTCCAAACTGATTAGTGAACAGTTGATATTTTTCTGAACAAATTGAAAGAGTATTACTGTTTAAAGGTACTTGAGGTTGGTAATACTTGGGGACAGAACCAAAAATTTATTATGGATGACCAAGCCTTAATTTATTTTAAATGAGGGCTTTTCAAGCATAAAATTAATATTTCTTTTCTAAGGGATTATATGTTACAGAATTTCAAACTCTAGGGAGAGCACCCCACCTCCCAAACTTTTGTCCCCGCCCCCTAAATTGTTCTTTCTAGTGTTTTTCTTCTCTCTACGGAAGAAAATGCATAATTATCTGACTCTTTATGGAAATGTGTTGATCAAATTGATAAGTGATGTTTGTGTGTTCTTGAATCTTGATGTTTATTTCATGCCGTATGTTCTTCTGTTCTTATCCTCACTTGTTGAAAGAGGAAGACATGTAACATTATCTTGTCTGGGGGATAATGTATATGTCTTCTTTGAGACTGATTGAGGGACCTAACATTTTCTGTAATGTTGCTTGTTGATTCTTAATTCTACCCCATTGGCACCTATTGCATCGATTCTCATTCTTGTAGGAACAGATTTACACGACTTACTAATTTACTAACTTTATTTCCTTGAAGGTAATATCTGATAGCATTATGATGAACCTTATAGCATCCTTGAGACAATTGCAAATTTTGGCTTTGTGCTATTGTTTTGGCGATATTTCCATATCAAGCTTCAAGTTGTCCATGCCTAATCTACGGAAATTGAGGCTTCAAAGAGTAACTCCTTGGATGGACAACAAGGATTTGGTTTGTCTGACTCAGAATTGTCCAAAATTGATTGAGCTTTCTCTGAAAGGGTGCCCTCTCCTCAATTCAGGTAAGGAGTTCTTATTTTAAAGTATACCATACTATTTCTTGCATTTAATAGTAAACATTTTCTTCTGTCAAAAAGAAAAGAAACAGTAAACATTATCTCATCTTCTCTTTTCTCCTTCTTTTTTTTTTAGTCATGAACTAGATTGCAAGGTCTCAAGCTTTCATGCTGCATTTTAGATGGTTTTTCTTTCTTTTTTTGTCTGTGGTTCTGTGTATGTCATGTTTTTATCTTCTTCTTTTTTTTTTTTTTATTAATGTTTTCCTGTGCAGATTCTCAACAAATCATCTCATCTGGATGGCCAGGCTTGATCTCTATCCATCTTGAGGTTTCTTATCAACAGTTTCCGCTGAATTTTGGGGCAAATTTTTAATTTTTAAAACTTCCCTTTACTTTGCTTAATGAAAATCAGCAGAAACATGGCTTGATAACCGCTCATGTCTTTCTTCTATTTTGACCCATTTGTTTTGTCAAACAGGATTGTGGAGAAGTAACAGCAAATGGCATTTCTTCTCTTTTTAACTGCATAGCTCTTGAAGATCTCTTGCTGCGCCACACGGTGAGTTTACCACTTTATGTATTTCTGGTGGTTATGCTTAAACAAGGGATGGGATATGTAGAAGGCAGGTATTGGTGTTTGAATCATTGTTGATAATCTCTATTTCGAGTTTGGGGCCTTT